TTGAAAATAGAATTTTTAACTTTTATAACCGGCCTTTTTCCACCGATAAACACAAAAGAACTGTTGCCTCAACATTTAGTGAAAGCTCCATAGGGTGGATGGCTTATTTTTTTTGCATTTTTCATATCAGTTTATTTGCCAGGAGAGTTTCTTCTACAAAGTACTGCTCAGGGACGTAGCGAAGGCCTCTGGTTTGGGGGGGGGGGGGGGACATTCCTAATTTTCCCAACTTTATTGAAACATAAAAAAAATCATATGTAGCATCATACGTCGTACACGTGTTAAGAAGTGGAACTTCTCAATAGTATATTACATTACGAGTGTAGAGAAAGTGACAAATTTCACACTAGTGTTTTTTCGCGCGAGGCGACAGCCGAGTGCGAAAATCACACCAGTGTATGAAAGACGCTTTCTTACGAGTGATGTACACCATTTTTCCTACGACCAGAAACCAATTTACATCAATTTTCTCTTATTTTATTTCTTTTCATTTTCAACACACGTGCTGAAAGTACTTTCAATCCACGTATTGAAAGTACTTTCAATCCACGTATTGAAAGTAAATTGTTATGTCAATCACAAATAATGTCAACAGTATTTTCCACACGTGTGCTGAAAGTACTTTTAGCACGAGTATTGAAAGTACTTTCAGCACGCGAGTGATATTTAGCGCTTTCCAAAGAACCAGCTAGTGCGAATTTTGTAATTTTCGTATGTGGTCGTAGGAAAAAACTATTCCCTCCCTGATGAACTTGTCTCTCATACAACTTTTAGACTTAGCATATGAGTCGGGGTATAAAGATGAAAGGCTACACAATAGACAAACGCGCATCTGTAGAGACGTCACAAGGGTTACACGTAACGCTCTATACAGCTTTGAGATAGCTTATGAGTCGGGGTGAAGACGAAGAGCCCGCGTATACTGACGTTACAAGGGTATCGGCGCTTGACAATAATAGGCAATCCTCTTTACTTATAATCCTTCGTTAGTGTGAATTGTTCGTCGGCTGTCATTGTCATTGGTTGATGTCTTTCTCCGTCTCTCTACGTTATAGCTTCCTTCTCTCTCATCTCTCCTGTAACGAAATTTGCCAAAACGTGACGGTACATGATGCGTCTTTCGTCTTTCAAATCACTCTCCATATTCTCCTCTGAATATCAGACCGCCGCCTAAGAAGTTTCACTTCAAAAACTGATAAAAAGTTTGACATGTATAGTCGTGAGCATAAAAAGTGGGACACCCGTTTTTTCCTATTGTAAAACGAGCTCTCATCAGCTATACCTATGGCAATGACAGAGATTGTCATATTTGACAAAAGAATCCATTGTAGAGAAAAGACTGATTTACCCAAAATAGTGAAAAATGACAAGATCTGTCAGTCCGGTGTCCCACTTTTTATGCGCACGACTGTATATATTCCAAACCGAAGATTACTAAAGTTAATAGGTTGCCTGATAATGGGTAACTTGATGACGCATCTAATCTGAGGTACCTTGGAGATTTGCATTATGTTGAGGCACCCCAGATGACGGAAGAAAACTATCAGAGGGCTGGAACTCTGTGACGGATAAAGATCGTTATCCCTATCGCTATGGCACTTGCTGTCTTTTTCTTTCTTGTCAAAATCAATAGAGAGGAGACGTCAATAGAGATAGAGAAAATATCTCTATTCGTTACAGAGTTCCAGCCCAGAGGCAACCTACCTCTCTCAAACAACCTTGTTCCGTTCCAGACCTACAAATAATCTAATCAAATCAAATAAACAATGTATAAAAAACATGTATAAGAAAAATGTTCGAAAAAAACATTTTTTCAACATAAGAGCACAGGATTCAGAGCTTTGCTGAAATTTGAATAGCGAGCGAAGAATGCGCAGAACGCAGAAAGTAATAAGAAGTTTGGATTATCTAATATACTATATTGTCCATCTCTTTCAAACACGACGCGCTTGCAATAACAAGCTATATATATAACTACGTCGGTCGTCGGTCTTGACTCTCGAATAGTGAATAGTGCTAGTGGCGCTAGAGCCACTACTGTCACGCATGCCACGTGCCACTGCCACAGGCTAATGGTGCTAGTGCAGCGTAATGTGCAACGCAAGAGATCGCCCCGACCATTGGGATTTCGTCAACCTGTTGTACGGTGATTTCGCAATTCACTACAACACGTGACACGATCCTAATGTATGTTAATTTTAATTAGTCCTCGCAAATTTTTGTCTACCAATTTTTCCCAACTTTACATTTTTTATCCAAGTTTCCCAACTTTCGATATATTTCAGGAACTTTGGGGGGGGGGGGGGGGGGCGTTGCCTGTACTTTTTGACCTAGGTGCATAAATAACTATTATATTTCTGAACAATGAATGTCACTTTTAGGCACTAGTGCTTACTTAAAAGTCACTTTTACGCACTTAGTTCCTAAAAGAATGTCATTTAAAAACTAAAATAACAATCGAAAAGCTGCTATTATGAAACGCCAGTAGAAAATAGTTATTTATGATATAAGTGCTAAAAGTGACATTTTATTTTGTGAAAAGGGAAGTTTGGGACACGACGCCGAAGGCGGAGTGTTCCATCCCTTTGAACAAAATAAAATCACTTTTAGCACGAATATCATACACTATTTTTTCTACAAACACAGTTTAAAAGTCCAAATTAACGCATCCTTGAAATCCTCAATTTCAAATCTTTCATCTAATTTATTTATGAAATAGGTTGCTGGCAAGAAAAAAAAAACGAATTTGTTTATTTTTATTTGTCATCTCTGTTTGTCATTGTTGATTAATAACGTCAAATAATCACGAATTTTTGCTTACGGTTTCTGCACAATTTTTGGTTTTTGCGTGGTTTCATCCAGTTTCATTGTAGTTTATTTTCTGGGCGATGGAAAGTGATCAAGACAATGAATTTCTCCCGGCGGAAATTGAAGAAGCTGCCAATAAAGCTACTTTCGAATTATTGCCTAGCAAGTCAAAGCAACAGTACGAGTTTTCATACAAAAGAACATTGCGGATCAAATTCAGCCCAAAAGTTCGGAGAATAACATTGCTCTTTACTCTCCTGGTACAAGTTTTACCAAAATAAATTCAGTATTTGCTACCAATGAGATTGGCCATGGAGTTTCTTATTCTAATTGCAGTTTCGCTAATTTTAATTTAATTAAATAAATATTTTACTTTGATATAAAATTTCCTATGTTTTTATATTTTCTGATCAGTGCTAGAAGTGATTACTTTTAGCACTAGTGCTAAAAGTAATCTCTTTTAACACCAGTGTCATAAAATGGCATTTTAGACACTGACAGCATCCGTTAAAAATGACACTTTTAGTGACGTTTGTAGAAAATAGTTTGTTTCCTAACAAGTGCGCAAATTAAGTCTTGTTCGCACACTGGCTGCAGTTGTCCGAACGACACGAAGCGGTGTTCAGGCAGCAGTCGAGTACGAAAAAGACACTTTGCGCAAGAGTGCAGGAACAGTATTTTTTCTACGAGCGATAAGATTTATGGAATTGCAGGAACTGGCGGCTAAAATATGTTAAATATGCTCTGATGTTTCCTCGTTCTCTTGTGCTTCAATGTTTTCCATTTTTTTGCGAGTAACTAGGCTAAGCTCACAATGTAGGTAGATAAAATAATGGCCAAAAAAAAGATGACAAATTAATTTGTTTGACACTGACTAATAAACACTGACGGTACATGAATATTTTTACTGGTAATTTGTCAAAATTGAATGTTGCGTAAAATTTACTCTTGTCCGCAATAGTGCGCAAAAGTAAATTTTGAGCTCTCAACTGCGTGTGCAAAGTACCTATTTTGCGCGCGTCCGTGAGAAAAAAAAATCTAAAACTGTCAAAAAGATGATGTTTGGCACACTGATGATGACAATTTGCGAAGTGACAATTTTTTTTTCAGGTAGATTTTTTTAAGGTTCCCATGACGCCGTGCCCGAAATGATTCTCCAGCGTACGAAATACCTAGTTCGCGCATTGTGACAGGTAACAAATATCTGACAGGAAACCAAAAATAATTAAAATTCACCTGTCTTTGATTTTAAATGCAATTTTAGCTTCGAATGATCGATATTTAAATGGAGTTGTAGAAAAAATATTGTTTGCAACTTGCAACTCGCGCGCGAAATATTTTTGGTGAACTTGAACGATTTTTTGACTTCGCTTTGCGTCGTCAAAAACTTTCGTTCTCGGTCACCAAAATGACATCTCGCTCACTAGATACAAAAATACCTATTTGACAATGCCACTCTAGTTAAACTTAATAAAAAAAACAAAATAAAAATAGTCGAGGAGATTATGAACAATTTTTGTCCCAGATACTTTTGGTGACGATGATACCTATTGGCCTAAATACGAATTTAATATAAATAATGTTCCAAATTTTATGCTTGATACAAAAATTTCGGAATAAGTTTACATTTTAATCCTGATTAGAAATTAAGAGATTAATCCTGATCAGTCATATGAAATAAACAAACACCTTGGACTTAGCTTAAACTATAATTCAGATTAAAAATTAATCTGGATTAGCTGTCAGCTCTAGTAACGCCATTGTTTGGTTGTTTTTAACTATTCAGGTTTCTTCACGAGCTGTAAAAATGTTCCAAAAATTGTTTTGTGAAACTTGCAAAGGTGCACATTATAGTTGGGTTACTTTCTGGAAAATAGGTAGGTACTAACATAGATACCTACTTCAAAAATAAACCATATTGATAATTGATATTACTTACTTTTAAACTAAAGTGTAAAAGCGATGCCAATTGAAAAACTTCAGTCATAAATGTGTCAAATCGTCCGATGCACTTTATAAGATTTGCAAGATATCGAATATCTGTTCTGTCGCATCCGTTAACCTTATTATATAAATAGGTTTATTCACATTAATCCTCCGGCTACGAAAATCTCGCAACTTCTTTAAATTCCTGCGCACATTATGGCACCAGGCCGGATCGCCATTGAAAATCAGCAGCAGCAGGACAGGACGGTTCAAAGCAAGAAAGCAGGGGCAGTTCAGTTCAGTCTCCTCCGTGCCGCTTCCGCGTCTAAACACAAAATCCGAGACTTGTATTAACCGGCTAACTGGTTTCCACGTGTTTTACTTTTTTAGCGATATCAGTAGCGGTTTCTTAGCACATGGATTCAAAAGTACGTAATCCAGCGAAAAGCTGATTTAATTTTGCTAGCTATAAGTAGCTAGCTTTATGATTTTTTCTTACAATTTTATGTTTTATTGGTACTTTTTTTGTTGGTAGGTTTACCATTAAGCGGGAAATGTCATTTTTGAATTTAATTGAAACTTGGAACTAATTATTTTCCTAAAATATGGAGGCAATTCTAATTCTATAAAAATATATGTTTGTAATTTCAATTTGATACAACAAAGGTTTACATTTTTCTGCAACGAGAAAAAGGATGTCCCACCAAATTAACATTATTTTTCTATGAGATAAGAGTGATCATTGGTCATTTATCATCAATGGAGTATTAGATGCATTTACCTATTTTACTATTTTGAAAAAGACAATTTTTGAATCGATAATGTGCATAATTTTTATCCAAATTTTCCAAGTATGTAGGACTTAAGAAATAAATAATTTAAACGAAACATGAAACACCAAAATCAATAATAATATATCTTCAGAAAAATAACAATAAATTCGCGCGAGACATTCGGAAATTGTTCGATTAAAGAGAAGAATTTCTAAAGAAAGTCGCTCAACTGGTTGTATGCACATATTTGTAACGCTATTTTGCGTGTTCCTTAGTTATTCTTTATGCACTTTTAAGGCATCAATTTAATTACAAGTAAACAAAAGTTCAAAGTTTTCTTTTAGAATAGAGCCGAACTTTTTTAAAAAAAGGTTTTCATTTGATCGTGTAGGTAACATTGTTAAAGGTAATTAAAACAAGATTAAGTTGCTAATTTTGGTCAAACCAGTTTCGCTCTATATAAAAAAAATCATGATATGAAAGCTAACAACAGTAAGTATAGCAACACAATCAGACTGGTGAATAATTATCTAATAATTTTTTTGAATAGCCTGATCAATTTTTTATATCATGTCTCTGCACATATTTTATAAAAGGTCCAACTTCATAGAACTGTCGAAGAAAATTTGAAAGGTTTTTGACTGAAATTCTTCATAAATATCTCTGACTGTAACGTCTTTACACCCAGAGCGCAATATTGAAATTTCACTGACCCTCCAGATCTTCAGCGTTGTGAAACAATTTCTTTCAAAATGCTCGTCCAACATTTTCAGTCCTATTTCCACCCATTTTCTTAGCGTACTTATCATAGAAATTGTCTTTTACTATCGTTCTTGTTTGATTGGAATCCATTTGCAAGTGAATATTTACAGTTTGACTTTTTTTTTACTCAGATTTAACATGATAATTTGGTAATAGTAATATATCGTTTCTCGAATTTTCACAAAGCCATACTAAATATTCCTCGATATTGGGATAATATCAATTCAAATAATACTTTTTCCACATTTTCCAAGAAACTCATCTTTTTTTGCTCATAGTTTTAGATTCCATAATCAATTTTGATAAAAGCCGAAAAGTTGCCGAAAAGAAATTGAAAAGGAAAATAGCAGGAATATCTTTTATTATTTGTGATTTTGATTAGGTTTTGGAGAATCAATATAGATAGATATATAGGAGTAATAAAAATAAATCACAGAATAAAATCAGACATTTCCACCCATGTTTTACAAGACTTGGAAAATTGTCAGTTTTTTTTTTTCGATAACAGATCCGATATCGTTTTATACACATCACGTACTTCAGAACATTTGGAGATAGTGGCGTTATTAGGACGCTGTTTGTACCTTGCAATTGCCGGGACAAAGTTTAGGGCTTTTTTAAATAACTTTTTCTCAATACGACGTTTTCGGGATAAAAGATGTGACCAAACAAAAAACGGCAGTCAAATTTTCCAGTATAAGTTTGTGCTAAGATAAAGAACGCACTTGACGTCTTCTTCTATCTTATCGTCAATACAGATATTCTAACTATTCTGTAACTTTTATCAAATCGAGATCGAAAACGTTATTAGACAATGACTACGTTTATTTCATGCGTTGTATCCGGATATTAAGTGGATTAAGGATTATTAATCCATATTCGTTTATTTCACGACTATCAAATGGATTAAGATTAGTGCTAATACTTTCTTAAGCCTTGTCAAAAGCGCAAGCCCAAATCGCTTTGTGTCTAACTTCATTAAAGGCAATCAGCTGAGACACTTTTTATTAGGTTTAGGTATTTTTTCTTGAAGTTAGCAACAAACTTCTTAAATCCGAGATTTGGAGTGTTTATTACACATTTGAGATAATCCATTTTAAGTCCAATCCTACAAATTTGGAGAATCGAGTTAAGTATCCGATCCGGATAAACTGTTTAATCCTGGGTGTTTATTTCAGGATTATTAATCTCCATTATTGATCCAATCCACTTAGTATCCGGATAGAACGTGTGAAATAAACGTAGTCAATCGAGAACGGTAAAATCGAGATAAACGTTATCGATTTTGACAAAGGACATGGCACTCATCTTATGGATTTTCGGGTACCGGTCGATTTTTTAAAAAATTTGGTATGTTGTAGTACCCCAACTAGCATCAAAGTTTAAACCTCTAGTAAGTCAGAAGAATTAGGGGAATTTCCGTAACACTTAACCAATTTGGTGACTCGATGGTGTCATTACATTGTGGTAAGTTTCACGGTTGCTGGAACCGTGGGACATCAAAGTTTAGCTACTTATTTAATACCAAAACTTTGAAGTAACAAATAATTGTCCCCGAAACTTCAAAAATTCCACTTTTGAGTAGGCGTGACTACTAAGTGTTTTTAAAGGTAACCACAACCGCAGAGGAACAATAGAAAACGCTTTAGAGTTAGCCACTTCCAAGTAACATTGTAAGGTAACCGATTCGTGGTGAGCGCCACCTATGCATAGGTAAATTCTACTTTAACGAATTTAGAGGTAACTTCATCGTAGCCTTGAATAATATAGGTACGCCATGTTTTATAGAAAATTTAAGGCGCCATTTTTTTGGAAAAAGTTCATTTTGTGTAAAAATGGAAAATTTACACCTTATTATCTGTTTATTAATAAAAACCTTCAGTTTTATGATTTCTAATTATAATGGACCTATTAAAAGTGCTAATTCCTTCAAATAAATAATTTTGTATTTTAGTATTTCTTCTATTCTAAATATTTTTATCATCAAAATGCTTTAGTTTGAAGGCGCGTTGTTATTTTCAAATCTAGCATAGGTACTTAATTTTCACAGAAAATTTTCACGCGTTTGGGTTTTAGCTGCTTAGGTACGAAAATCAAAGTCTTTCAATATTCATATAGGTACGTAATAATGATCAAGTGAACAAGATATAGGTTGACTATCATGAAATTAAAGTACTGAATGATGGACGGAAACACAAAATACATAACTTTAGTTGACAGAGAGAGAGAGAGAAAGATATCAAATAAATATCTATCTTCAAGATTAAAGGCGCATGGGAAAAAGTCCCATTTTGGTTGGTATTACCACACATTTACGGTTTCGCAACGTACCCGAAACGGTCTCGGGACGTGAATTTACAGTTCCGAGCAGGATGCAGGCATGTAAAAGTTACTGCAAAATCATTCCCCATTTTGGTAACAACGTGCTGAAGAAACGGTGCCTAAACGGTTCCCGATACGCGTAACACCAACTTTAAAGTTCTCTTTGTAGTCGAGGGTACGTAGCGGCGACTTAAATTGCTGGTTGAGACTAGCAAAAATATGCATTTTTCATCGGTGCACCAAATCTCTAACTATGCAGGGTGACCCAGTAAAGTGGCTCCGAAAATCATAAAACAAGCCTTTTAATTATCGATGTTGGCGCGCCCTGCAAGCTATAAATCGGAATTTTCGTTCTCGATTTCGCAAATAGATAGTCTAGATAAGCTTGATTTGATATACTACAGGTTGCGTATTATTTTAGAAATCCTGCCCTATTCTTAGGAATAGTGTTGATAGAAAAGTCGCGCTGGATTCCATTTGTCTGTAACTTTTTTAATATGTGTCCGATTTTAAAAAAAAATATGGTCTTAAAATAAAGCTTATATCACAGAGATGTCATGAAATTTTAGAAAATGACAAATGTGATAAAATTCGAAATGGCGGAAAGTGATGAAAGTATTATAGATTCTTACGAACAATAAACCCGGCCAGTTTGAAATTGAAAACAGGATCCAAAAGGTTAATGTTGAGCGTAATTACCTAATCACAATTCATCAGTTGTCAGAATTCCTGAAAATCGGTGTCACATGATATCGCACAGGTCAATTAATTAAGTGCGTGGACATTTTCTAGGCACACCGTGTAATTTATGCCAAGTCTTGGATCAAAAAATTTACGAGTTTATTATACTAAGGGCCAAATTATGGACTGACTGGTAAACGTCTGGTTGTTTCCTAGCAGGTACTTTCTAATATCCAGAGCATAGAATTTACCTGCTAGGTAGGTAACAACCAGACGTTTACCAGTCAGACCATAATTTGGCCCTAAGGGCAGGTATTATAAAACTATTTTGACAGATAACTAAAAGTTAACTTTTGGAATTACTATGAGAAGTAACGTCATTTCAGAAGGTACCTTTTCGTAATTCTATCAAAATAGTTCTATAATACCCGCCCTTATAGTGGGAAAATGGTAACACAATAACAACAATAAAAATACCAACACTATAATATTTTCATCGTGATTACCTACTGGCTATTTGCACTGTCTTGAATACACCTAAGTAACGTATTTGATGGGCACTTTACATTGTTTTCATGTTCGTAGCCCAAGTAAACTCTGTCTAACCAAAGTTAAACGTTGAAGGTCACTTACTCATTCTTGTAGCCATAGGATTCACACATTCGGACCTATTTTGGTTTGATAAACACAGTGCGCGTGCAATAAAGACAGCAGCAAAAAGCAACGTCTGTGATATATTCGAGTAAGAGACCTTCAACGTTCAACTTTGGTTAGACAGAGTTTACCAAACAACGCTAGAAATGTGGGAGCACATTCGCAAAGTTCTAGCACCAACTTTGCATGTGCAGTATGTGCCCAATGTTGGATCCTCTTCATCCGGCACAGGGGGA